GGACTTCCATCTGCTGATTCACTCCCCACATGGCTGCAATGGCCAGAGCTGTGCCAATCCGAAGCCAGGAGACTGGAGTGTCTTTTGGGTCTCCCATGTGGGTGCAGGAGCCCAAGGACTTGGGCCATCTTCCACTGCTTTCCCAGGCCATAGCAGGGAGCTGGATCAGAAGTGGAGCAGCTGGTACTTGAACTGGCACCTATATGGAATGCCGATATTGCAGGCAGTGGCTTTACCCGGTACACCACAGCTCCAGCCCCAGAACATAGATTTTTATGCAGTATATGCTCAATAGATTTTTGTGTTTTTCTGTGGTGTCAGTGGCTTTGACAGCCTTGACATATATGAATTAGTAAGTTACTGTGCTAGCAAGAGAGCCTAAGGTCTCAGTTATCAAGACCATCTTATAACAGAGGCACACATTGCCTACACCAGAAGCAGGAGGACCCACATTTCATGTTTAATACTGAGAGCATCAGGATCCAAGATGACATACAGGGTAAAAGATAGTGGGAACAAACAGAATTTGGATGTAACTGTGCCCTATCCAGCGAGCAAGTCATTTAGCTCCCGTACTGCAAGTGGAATGCCTCTAAGCATGTGCAGCACATTGCTGCTGGTTGCCAGTTCTTGTATCTGTCTGATAAGCTTCCATTTCACCTAGAAAAAAAACCAATGCAGATCCTTATATCACATCATACAGTGAAATGAATTTCAGATGGGTTACTCATTAAAATTGAAAAAGATACAATCATGGTAGTCTAGTAGAAATTCTGTTTGAATTATAATCTTGAGAGTGGGGAAAGTCTTCTTTATGATAATGCCAAAAATAGAAAGTAGAAAGGAAAAATTGGCTATAATCAAATAAATAAAAATGAACAATGCCTGTTCTCCCCAAAATTATATTAGTAAAATCAAAAGTCAAAAGATGAAATAGGAAAATATTTGTAACATGTGGCAGATAAAGAGATAAAATCACCAGTACAGAAGAAATACAAAGACCAAGAAGGATATGAAAAATTACAGTCTAGTTTTACAGTCAAGAGGTTAAAATGGAAATAAAGACTGAGACTTTCTACCAATTAAAAATAAAGAAACTATTCTAGTATTGATGAGATTTTGGAAAGACACATATCGTATTGGTGGGGATATAAATTGGCACAACTGTTATGGAGGCTTTCATTTTTTCTGCTGCTATAACAGAATATCACAGATTAGATAAATTATAAACAGTAAGAGTTTATTTGGGTCATGATCCTGGAGTGCAGGAAATCCAAGATGGAGGGTAAGGGTCTTCTTGTAGCATTATAGGGTAGAAGGATGAGCGAGGACATGCAAGACAGAGAACTTATCCTTTTATCAGGAGCCCAGTCCTGAAATAACTAAACCACAGCCACAATTACAGCACTGATCTCCATTCATGATGGCAGATCTAGTCACCTCTGAAAGGTTCTACCTTTTAATATCATCATAACAGCAATGAAATTCTAACATGAGTGTTGGAAAGACATGTAAACTATAAAAGAGACAAAACTGAAAATATATGTTAAAAATTTTCTAGATCTTATTTATATGATCCTTTTAACACTTAGTCCTATCAATATGATCACTTTACAGTATCTGGTAATAATAACAGGTAGAATTAAAAAGGAGAGAATGTTCCAACATGGGAAGCAGTCCACTCAGCAGACTCATAGAATGACAATCATTTTAAATAGCACTCTGACCTCATAATCAGCCTTTAAGGCATCTGGTCTGGCTGAAAAGCCCATGAGATCATTTCAGGCATGGAAAGCCAAGACATAGTGGCAAAAATGTTCCACATGAAGGATCTCTGTGACTGAGACACTAGTGGAAAGAAGTGGCCATCAAAGAAGGTTATACTTTTCTCTGAAGGGAGGAGAGAACTTCCACTTTGCTTATGGCCTTTTCTATACACTGATGGGTATTGTGGATTCAGAAGGCTTCCATAGCCATGGCAGCTCATGTCAAGAGCCTTGGGTGATCCCTGGCATCATACATAAGAATGTTACTTGTTAAATTAAGAACAGGAGTCATTGTGCACTTACTCCACATTCAGCATTTCTTTTCCTCAATTGGTAGAAAGTCACAGTCTTTATTTCCATTTGAACCTCTTGACTGTAAAACTAGACTGTAATTGTATTATGAAAATTAACTGTAAAACTTGTTCTCAGTTTTTTTTTGTATGAGTATAGAGTTGGTAATCTGTGTATAAAGTTAATTGAAAATGAATCCTAATGGAGAATGGGACTGGAATGGGAGAGGGATGAGGAGATGAGGTGAGAATGGAGATGGGAGGGCGGGTAAGGTGGGAAGAATCACTATATTTCTAAAGTTGTACTTATGAAATTTGTACTGATTAAATAAAATATTTCTCCAGGGAAAACATCACCCAACAATGCATTTCTCAGAGCATGTCTTCATCTTTAAGTGATAGATGATTGTAAATTATTTTATCTTCATATAGTGGGATGTTATATAATCATTAAAATCACATTATAGTTAAATATTATTGGAAGTGGCTGTCACTGGAATTACTACTGCTGTTCTAAATTTATGTGGTAGGGATTGAATCTGCTGTGGTCAATGCTAATTTCAGTCTCATATCATCTTGTATATCTCAAGGTTAACAATCTGATAATGTATACTTTACTTTTTCCTAGAACTTTTCACTGACACCATCACTGAAGTTTATATAAAAATTTATGCATGCTGGTATTTTCCTGATCTTTCCCTCTTTCTGTTTTCTCCTCATAGAAACTGACCTCTACATATTGTCATCTCCTATGCTCAGTTCTTGAACCTACTTATTTATTTTTCTGTTTATACTTAAACTATGTGGTAATCTCTTCTAGTTTATGACTCTCACCATCTTTATTCTGATCACTCCCACACTTCTTTGTTTGTACCTGCAACCTGCTCAAGTACTTACCTTCCTGCCCCAGAGACACTGCCTTGAATGCTCTTCTACTGTCCATGTGGTTCACTCCCTCCCCTATTTCAGGTCTTTACTCTAAAGCCACCCCTTTTGTTGAGGACATCTCTGATCATGATTTCCCCCTTCCTTCTTTGTGTCACTACTTTTCCCCCTTCCGTCCTTTCTTTTCCTCCACGTCACTTAACACCATTACATATGCATAGTTTTTATTGTCTGTTTCCTCTAATAAGAATAAAAGCACCACAAGGACAGATATTTTTCTTCTTTTGCTCACTGCTTTATTCCAGATACTGGGTATGGTGCTTGACACATAGTGGATACGAAATAGATATTTGTTGTCGAATGAATCTATGGATGCTGTGTCTGAGAACACACCAAGGTGTTCAGTGTTAAGATGATGAATAAAGTTCAGAGTCTTTTGGAAGCTTTTGAGTGTTCATGGGGTGAATGATTTCTGCAATCTTATAAGTTGCCCAGATAACAAGAGAAAGGTAAGATGAGACCTCTGAGGCTCAATTAGGATGATGGATGTTCTTTCACTCCCTCTGATTGTTTTCCTGTCACATGACATGGAAGTAACTTGTTATGATGATGGAGGGAAGACTGCTAAAACTGGAAGAAGATGGTGAGATATTACAATGGGAAGTGGTTCAAACTATCCCCCTTAGAGCTACATGGAGACTGTAATGGGGCAAGACATTATCTCATCATTTAAATCTCCTAAGGCTATGTGTAGTATATTGCCAATGTGTATCTTATTTATATTACCCTTTACTTCAAGGTTGTTCTACAGAGTTTCTGATTCTGGAAGGAAATATAAATTGACAGGGGAAATATATTCAACATATATTGAATTTTAAAAGACTATAAATACAATAAAGATAATAATCTTGTTTAGTTAGGAAAAATCAATGTTTTCTATTAATTTATCTGTCTAAAGCTTTGTCTGCCAAGATAATGTAATGGAATACACACACACACACACACACATACACACACACAATAAGGTACTAACAGTGATTATCTCTGAATACTTGGACTGTGCTTTTGTTTTTTTCCTTTTGCTTACCTATATCTCTAATTCCTAATTTTACCTTTCTCTTACTAAAGACATATTGTAGACATGGTTGTGGAATTGTTAGATGATCTGAGAGCATGGGTATTGCAATGAAAATGGAGTCTCAATGTCAGACATGACTTCTAGGTTATAAGGGCAACTTTTTTAATATCTTCTCCAGTTGGCTTTCTGCTATATATCTCTAGTGGTGGAGATAGTACATTGTATATATCTGCCTACGACTTCCACACAATGGGAGTTCCACCCTTTGGAGTCATCAATTCTGGATTTTTATACAAGCCTCCTAGTTGGTCTTCCTACTTCATTCTTGCCACTCCGTAATCTATCCTCAACAATATAGTCCTCAAAATAACAAAAATTACATTATGTCATTCTTCTGCTGAAAACCCACTTTCCAACTCCTGAGAAAAGTCAAGAACTTTTCATGACTTACAAAGCCCTATGTGATGTAATCCATCTTCTACATGTAAACAATTACTTATGTTTTCAACATTATTCTCATTTTAGTTTTCTCTTTTGAGATAGATACTGTATTCTTGGGATTACTAAGCATTACACTGTAGAATTTAGTGTTCCCTTTCTTGTTCTGAGTACTTTTTAAAATTAAATACAAAGTTTGATGACTTGTCAAGAGTACAAAGAAAGGAAGATCATGCAGTAGTTTTGAGGTACACATTGTTCATGCCTATGGAATTTTCCAATTTTGATACACACATGTGCTACACATGCACATACTTACATAAATACAGTTTCAGATTTAGTTTTTTGTAAAGGTAAAAGAAAAGGAGAAAGAATGAAAGCACAAAGAGGATTTGATACTAGGGACTGAACCTCTGGAAAAAAGAATCAGGACTCTGTTGGTATTAGAAGTCTCCTCAATATAATTAAAACACATTCTTCCTTTATGAATTTGCATAGCAGTAGTATATCTTCACTTTAATAAAATTAAGTTGTCTTCTGTAGGAGAAACACTATGATATGAACTGCTGAAGATGGAAAGTAAATGATAGAAGAGGAATTGAAATGTCGACTTGTCATTCTCATGCAACACATTGTCCACTTAGAGGTTGTTTGAAACAGACAGCATAAACCATTCTGGGAACAAATCCCATGCACCATAAAATGAACCATAGCTCTATGGTCTCAGAGGATTGGTAAGTTAAGGGGTTATGAGAGTACATTGGTATTGACATTCCATTCAGTGAATATTTTCTGAATACCTCCTCTCTGCCAATGACTTTGTTGAATTCAATGGAAATAAATATAAAAAGGAACCACTGACCTTACTCTTGGTATCTTTGGCTCAGTAACACTCAAAATCAAGCAGTTGTAGGAGTTTTTTAAATTTAATTTAAAACTATTTATTATTTATTTTCACTTTATTTGAAAGGCAGATAAACACAGATAGATAGACAGGATCTTCCATTCCCTGGTTCATTTCCCAAATTCCCACAATAGCAAGGTCTGGGACAGATCAAAGCCAGGAGCCTGGAACTCAATACAGGTCTCCCTTCTGGGTGTTAGGGACCCACATACTTCAGTACCCAAGTATATCATATGTCCACCAGGATGTGCATTAGCAGGAAGCTGGACTGGAAGTGGAGTAGCTGATACTTGAGCCAGAAACTGTGATATGGGATGTGGGCATCCCAATTGGTGATTTTAACTGCTTTGTCAAATGCCTAATCCTAAATGAGTTTTTAAAGACTTACATAAGTGTTCATGATGACATTAAACTAAAGAATAGCATGCAGAATTACACAGTCTATATAAATTCAACTATGTAAAAAATCCATAAAGAGCATAGGATAAAATATTCTGAAATATTAAAAAGAAAAAAGTCAATGATATTAGGGTAGAATTATTGTGATTCCCCCTTGCTTCTCTCTTTGTTCTTGCCAAATTTTAATAATGAAATGCATCATCATGTTTTATCATTAAGCAAAATAGAGCAGAATAGGTACATATAGCCTAGCAGTTAAGATGCCCATGTCCTACACTGGAGTACCTGGGTTTGGTTTCTAGCTCTAGCTCCTGACTCCAGTCTCCTCCCAGTACAGACCCTAGGAGGCAATTATGATGACTCAAATAATTGGGTTCCTACCTCCCATGTGGGAAATCAGGATTGCATTAACAGCTCCTGGCTTCTGCCCTGGCCCAATTCTGATGTTGTGGTCATTTGAGGAACAATTCAATGGGTGGGAGCTCTGTCTCTTTAGATCTTTTTTTTTTTTTTTTTTTTTTTTTTTTTTTTTGACAGGCAGAGTGGACAGTGAGAGAGAGAGACAGAGAGAAAGGTCTTCCTTTGCCGTTGGTTCACCCTCCAATGGCCGCCGCAGCCGGCGCGCTGCGGCTGGCGCACCGCGCTGATCCAATGGCAGGAGACAGGAGCCAGGTGCTTTTCCTGGTCTCCCATGGGGTGCAGGGCCCAAGCACCTGGGCCATCCTCCACTGCACTCCCTGGCCACAGCAGAGAGCTGGCCTGGAAGAGGGGCAACCGGGACAGAATCCGGCACCCCAACCGGGACTAGAACCCGGTGTGCCGGCGCCGCAAGGTGGAGGATTAGCCTAGTGAGCCGCGGCGCCGGCTTCTTTAGATCTTAAATAAATAAAAAGGTTAAAAACAGCTAATACCACTCTTTTTACTGATATTCTCATTTTACAGGATAATAGACTTTATCCTAAATCATGAAGTCATCTCTTACCATTTATTCTTAAAAAAAAAAAAAAAGAGTTTATTTATTTGAAAGGCAGAGCAACAGAGGGAGGAGATCTTCTATCTGTTGATTTCCTCCCCAGATGATCACAATGACTAGTCTGGGCAAGGCCAAGTCAGGAGTCTAGAACTGCATCTGAGGTTCCCACATGGGTGATACGGTCCAAACTATTTGGGCCATTCTCTGCTGCTTTCCTAGGCATGTTAGCAGGGAGCTGGATCAGAGAAGAGGAGCAGCTGGGATTCACTGTTGCACATATGAAATGCTTCCATTGCAGGTGATGGCTTAACCCACTGTGCCACAGTCACGGCCTCAATATTTATCCTTTTTTTTTTCCTTTTTAAACTTTTATTTAGTAAATATAAATTTCCAAAGTACAGTTTATGGATTACAATGGCTTTTGCCCCCCCCATAACTTCCCTCCCACTCGCACCCCTCCCATCTCCCGCTCCCTCTCCCATTCCATTCACATCAAGATTCATTTCAATTATCTTTATATACAGAAGATCGATTTAGTATATATTAAGTAAAGATTTCATCAGTTTGCACCCACACAGAACATACAGTGTAAAATACTGTTTCAGTACTAGTTATAGCATTACTTCACATTGGACAACACATTAAGGACAGAGATCCCACATGAGGAGTAAGTACACAGTGACTCCTGTTTCAACCTTTATCCTTGTTGACCATCATAGTGTTTGACCACACTATCTTTCTTAACACATTCTTGACTTCCATGGATTTGACTTCTCCTAGTTCACTTTCACATCTTGCATATCTTTCTTCCTCATACCTTCTAACTTTATGATTCTTAGTTTTCTTCCTTACCCTTTCCTCTCGGGAACTATAGGCTTCAAAAAGTTCATGGAAAATATACATTATCTCTTAATTCAATATTTCCATGAACTTCTTGAAGCCTTCTCATACTATTTGTAATTTTAGTAGCGTATCCAATTCCTGAATCATACCCTTGAGTTGTGGCTTCTTTAAGGAGTATCGGGAGCTGAGGAGCTCCTTTTTAACACATACAGGCTCTGGCCTTTCCTATCAGAGTATTTTCAAAGGTAATAGGAAGCAGCGGGGCAAAGTGAAGAGAAGAGCCTGGTTTTAAATCTTCTGAGCCTCGTTTCCTTATCTGAAATATTGCATCTAGGATTAAGATGAAACTTAAAGAGTTAAAATATGGAAAGTACCCAGCATGGTGCCCACATGCAACAGCTGCTCCAGGAATGTTCTGGTCCTTCTTCCCCACTTCCTCCATTTCTACCATCTGTCTGAGTACAAGAATGACGAACTTCAGGGCATATTGTCTGTGGTTCTTATTATATACATCTATTAAAGATCCAGTTAATCTATTTTGGTTGCCATCAAAGCAAATGATTGCCATCAAAATGTCTATTTATGCCAACAGAATGGGAGTACTTTATTGATCCGCCAATTACTAGTGTTCTACTATTTTGGTCTAGTCTCAGCTTTTTGGAGTTTCTTCTGCTGTTAGCAGAATGTCAGTGAATAAACAAATAAAATCGTTGTGTGGGATTAAAACTGAAGCAAATGAGATTATTGAAATTACTTAGCCCAATTTTTATGGTTTTTCTAATGCCTGTGTTAGCTGTTTGCTACCACTGATCGAGTTCAAGGTAGTAGAGTTCTAGACTCTCTGTACCCCAACAGTATATGCTAGTGTTACTGAAATAACCACAGTTCATCTTGCTAGAGGATACTTTTCTCTTTCCACCTTGATGAGCCTTGGTGTTAAAGCAGGAGGCAATATGGTATCATAGGTGAGAATGTTAGCCTTAGATTTGCATGCAGACTCCAGAGTGGGAAATAATTCCTACTTTATAAAGCTAGTGTGAGGATTATATCAGTTAACATCCATGAGACCATTTTTAAAAGCACTAGGAAGGTAAGTCATTATTAGTTCTTAGGTTGAGACACAAATCATCTAGAAATGTCTGTCTCTAGCCCTTTTTTGATGTAAATATTTATTTTGTTGTCTACCACATTTGCTCTTTCAGTGATAACAAAAAATGAAAAGGAGATAAATATTTTTTAAAAATTAGCAGCCAAAGAGCCAGAGCTAGTGTACGGCTTACAGTGGGTGCTCAATTAATGTTTGTTGGAGCAGTAATGAATGAAATGAATCTGTCCCTCTCTTGCAATAGGGATGTAGTTATTGTGGCTTTTTAACAGAGGCAAAATTCACTGGCCATTCTTGTAGATGATTTGTGAAGCTGTGATCAACAAGGGCTACAGCTCTGAACACTGTGTGCATTAAATGCTGTTAGGTTGGAGGTTGGCTTTTAACTATTAGTGCCAACCAATCTGTATTTTTAAATTAATAAAGTCTAACATTTGTTGAGTACTTCATTTGTTGAGTACTCTTTCATTTCAGTATCTTCTGAATGGAGTTGTTCTAATTCTATATTATAAATGAAGAAATAAAATTCAAAGAAATTAAGCAACTTGTTTAAAGTAACGAAAAGAATGAGAAGCAGAATCTTGCTGTGAACTCAGGTCATTTGGGCTCAAGTCCAGGGCACCATGACCTAGGACTCCCTCTGCCATGTCTGCTGCTAATATGGTACTTGAGTGTTTTGCTTCTGAGTTTCCCCAAGGCCTAGGATGAGACACTGGGAGGCAATTTGGTTTTGGAGGTGCGGAGGGGGAAGCTGGCTGTTCTACAATTGCTTGCTGAGCCATCTGCTCTCTCTTCCTCTTCAGAAATGAGGCATTTGTTACTGTGGGCTGCTTTTGCTGAATATTTGGATTATGTCACTTTCTCTGTATGTCACATGTGGGGCATTTGGTGACATGCAGCCCAGCCTACATTGGTTTCCTTACGTAGTGCAATAGGTACACGCAGATTTGCTTTCATTTCAATGTTGAACAATTTCAATGCCATTTAGTAAGAGTCACATGTCTACAACAATAGAAGCCTTCGCATTTCAGCTTCCCTTTTTGTATAATGCTAATTGGAATCAGGAAAAAAATCACAAATATACATGTATACATGCATATACAACAAAAAGAAATCAGAGGAACCTATTGATTAAGTTGGATGCTGGTCAGCCATGTCACTTAATTTTGTCTCAGCAGCAATAATTTTTTGTGCAGGTTTGTCTATTATTTTACAATTTAGTATCCAAACCTATTCAATTTATAAGTGAACTAGTGGTTGAAAGGCTATGTGTGGGTTGAAGAATATTTTTTATCACGGTGGGAAGATTTGGTAAAATGATCAGGAATAATCAGTATTGGGTTTGTGCTGCTGCTAATTTGCTTTATGATCTTGGGGAAGTAATTTCACCTCTCTAGGCCATCCATGAAATGGTTAGTACAAGAGATATCTGATAATTCTAGCTCAAGGGCTCTATGATTAATTGATTTTGTGATTTATAGAAATTAGAGATGGCATGTATGGAACATATTTTCTGGAAGTAGGGAAATAGCTCCAAACATTGTTTTTCTCTCTGTGAGCAAAAAGGAGAATTATAGAATTGTCAGGTTATTCAGATATCTCCAAGCATGAATACAGCAAGGAGCTTATTATTTAGAAATAGTTTACATGAGGCAATATTTTTGCAAATAAAAGATGGATAATTCCATTTCTGAGAATGTGTTTGGTAGCTTCATGATTTATTAGGGTATTTAGAATCCTCCCAAACTTAATGGTAGCTAACCTTTTTATTAATTAATTTCTTCCTTCTTCAGTTACACAGTGAGGACTCAATAAATGCCAACCACTGTGCTGGATGCTGGGAGTTCAAGGGTAAGTTGAATTCATTATCTGATCTTGAGAGATTCCCAGTCTGAGGAAGAAGGCAAGTCTGAAAACAGAGTACACATGTAATAACAAAAATAATGTACAAAATGACACAGCTGGCAAGGAGAAGGGAGGGAGTAACCTGCTGGGAAAGGCAGATGAAGGAAAGGTGATACAGAGTAGGTCTTAGAGGATGAGAAAATTATTTCTAGGTGGAAACAGGATTGAGGAAAAGGCATGGAAGGACACATTAAGCAGGTGAGAAGACACAGAGGTGTGAAATGCATGGAATATTCAGCAATAACAAGTAGTGTAGTGTAGTTGGATATAGTTTAGAGCCCAATTCTGAAGAACCTTGATGCCAGTATAAAGAATTTGCATTTCATCCTGTTTCTATCAAAGGGCTGTAAGCAGTAGAGTGACATGAATGGCTTTAGGTCTACTAGTTTGTTAGACAAGATCTTGGCATGTTCATTGAAAAAGTCTGAGCCAACTGAATGTCAACCTAGAAGCTTACTTTAGTCACTGCATTTATTTTTTAATGTTCTTCCTTTAGGAGAACTGCCTGGTTGTTTATCATACACTACTTCCATCAAGTGTATGGGGATTGCCTTATTTGTGCTGTTAGTCTGATGTGGCTGGGCAAGAAGGAGGAATTTTCTTTCAACCAAAGCAGTGGGAATAAGGGAAAAAGGTGAGAAGAAGGATTCAAAGGGGAGGCAGATCGTGGAGGAACAGTACCCTGTGCCAAACAGGCAGATGGGGTCCTGTGTATAGTATGTTAAGGAGTAATGATTATTTTCACAGTGGGTGATACTTTTAATAAAGTTCATCTAAAAGTCCCAAAGGTACAGTTCACTGGTCGGTAATAGGCCTTGGAATAGGGTATCCGTTCTCAGTATTTTCAAAAATATTGAAAGGACTTCCTCACCATCTCATCATTAGTCAAATCCAGAGCAGTTGTGTAGACCTTCTGAGTTGTGATCTTTTCATATAAAGATCCCCCATACCCATTACACAGTGAAAGTTTAAACATTCATTGTTCTACCTGCCTGGTGAGGAGAGAAGCATAGAAATCAAGATAGGATGGAATTTAAAATCTTGAGTGGAGTCTTCTAAGGATGGAATGCCATTGGAGAGTCATGTTACTTACAAAGCCCTGCTGATAAAGTGTTTGGAACTGTCCCTGTTTGTCCTGTTATTCCATCCTTTGAATCTATGATACTGAATCAGTAAATTACTTTTTCCTGCATGCCTAAGATGCCAAAAGTTGGTTTCTGAGCTTTTAACAAGAGTCCCAACTATTGGAGAAATTGGTACCAGAAGACTTCTTGGTCTGAAAAATCTTTCTTATAATTTCCGGTATCTAGTATCCAAATCCTACTCTTTTAAAAATCACTTTTGTAAGAACACCTAATAATGGTATAAATTCAACAGAAGTTTTAAGTCAGCAACACATAAGTTAATCTCTTATGTTTTTTGTTTTGTTTTGGTAAGTTTTTTTCCCCACGCTACTCAAAGAAAGGAACTGACTTTCTTCCCTTCTTTTTCCTTTCCTTTCTCTCCATTCCCTTCTCTTCCTTTCATATAACCAGAACTTAGAGAGTCTCATGGTTGGAATCAAGAAGAGAATTATGGCTGAGAAGCCAGCTAGAGATGCTAGGGTCTTTGGGTTTTGGATGAAGAAGGTCAAGTTTGAATAGGTGGTCAAGGCTGATGAGGCGTCTGCGGCCTATGAGGCCTACAGGCTAGGGGTCAGGATAATGATTTTGAAGGAGGCCAGTTTGGAAGGGCCATAGCATGGAACTCATTAGGGCTGAGGAAGGACCAAGAGTGCTATTGAGGTTGATAAGGTCAGGTTCTCACTTCCAGGGTTTGGAAGATTGATTAAATACAATTAAATAAGGAAATAATTATACTGATGAAAAAGGGAGTCATATTTCTCACTGTTAGAGAAAGAAGCCACAAATATTTAAGATACATTGAACCCTTTGGTGTTGGACTGGAAATGGAAGTATTGTGTTTCTTTTTTTTTAATATTTATTTATTTGAAAGACAGAGTTACAGAGAGAGATAGAGACAGAGAGAGAAGTCTTCTATCTGCTGGTTCACTCCCCAGATGGCCGCAACGGCCAGAGCTGTGCCGATCCGAAACGGGGAACCAGGAGCCTCCTATTGGTCTCCCACACGGGTGCAGGGGCCCAAGGACTAAGGCTGTCTTCTACTGCTTTCCCAGGCCATACAGGAGAGCTGGATCAGAAGAGGAGCAGCTGGGACTAGAACCAGCACCCATATGGAATACCAGCACTTCAGGCCAGAGCGTTAACCCACTGTGCCACAGTGCTGGCCCCAGAAGTATTGTGTTTTTATGGCATGTGTATGTCCATGCCTACATATGAACACACACACAGTTAGGTATAGACAGATGACTGATTCTAAAGAAGTGGCTTATCATAGGATTTAATCCCATGTGCATTTTTTTATATTTTTGGATAAAGTTTTTCATATCCTTAAGTTACAAAGATATTCTCATACTTTATTCCGTTAACTTTAAAGTTTTAAGTTATATGGAAATGTCTTTAATTTATCTTAAGTTTATCTTTGTATATGTTGGAAGGCCTGGGGTCCAGCTTTCTTCCTATCCATTTAGTGAGCCAATGTTTCTAATATAGTCTGGGCAATTATTTTCCCCTTGTTTTATGGTACATCTTTATCATATACCATATTTACATGGGTTTATATCTGAGCTTTCCATTTGACCTATTTGATCTTCCCTGGTATCATGCTGTTTTCCCAGGTACATTGTCAGGGAGGTGAATTGGAGGTAGAACAGTACTCTAGCCAGTGCTCCTATATAGGATGCAGGCTGTGGTTTGATCTACTGGGCTACAATGCCAGCCCCTAATTCTTTTTTTTTTAAAGATTTATTTATTTTTATTTGAATTTCAGTGTTACACAGAGAGAGGAGAGGCAGAGAGAGAGAGGTCTTCCATCTGATGGTTCATTCCCCAGTTGACTGCTACGGCTGGAGCTGTGCCAATCTGGAGCCAGGAGCCAGGAGCTTCCTCTGGGTCTCCCAAGTGGGTGCAGGGGCCCAAGCAGTTGGCCAAGATTTATTTATTTATTTGAAAGGCAGAGTTACAGGGAGGCAGAAGCAGAGAGAGAGAGGTCTTCCATCTGCTGGTTAACTCTCCAGATGGCCACAACAGCCAGAGCTGCACTGATCTGAAGATAGGATCCAGGAGCTTCCTCTGGGTCTCCCACATGGGTGCAGGGGCCCAAGGATTTGGGCTATCTTCCACTGCTTACCCTGGCCATAGCAGGGAGCTGGATTGGAAGTGGAGCAGCCAGGACTCAAACCAGTGCCCATATGGGATGCCAGCACTGTAGGCTATGGCTTTACCTGCTACACTACAGCTCTGGCCCCAATCTCTACCTTTCAATTTACAGTTATGTAATTTCTTACAAGGTAGAATTTACACCTTTTTGCTGTTTACTGTATGATTTAAGTCATTTTGTTTCATTATCTTTAAGAATTATTTTGTTTATTTGAAAGACAGGGTTACAGAGAGAAGTAGAGCCAGAGAAAGAGGTCATCCATCCAATGGTTCACTCCCCAAATGACCACATCGGTTAGAGCTGAGCTGATCCAAAGCCAGGAGCCAGGAGCTTTTTCCAGGTTTCCCACATGGGGACAGGAACCCAAGGGCTTGGGCCATCCTCTACTGCTTTCCCAGGCCATAGCAGAGAGCTGGATCGGAAGTGGAGCGGCCAGGACATGAGCCAGCGCCCATATGGGATGCCGGCAGTGCAGGCTGGGGCTTTAACCCACTGTGCCACAGCTCCAGCCCCCTTTTTGTTTCTTTAATATTCTATTGTTGAATAGGAAATTTTCTGGCATGCTATTTTAATTTTATTGTCATTTCTCTTGCTATTTTTGAGCTTTTTTTTTTAGTTGTTGCCCTGGGGATTACAATTAACATCTTAATTGATAGCAATATATTTTTAATGAGTTGCAATTTAAATTATACATAGAACTTTTCCCCTATATAACTGCATCTCTCTCTCCTATATACTATTATTATTGCACAAATTACACATTTATATATTAGAAGCCCCTAAGGACTATTTTTAAATTACTGCTATATTGAAAAAAAATGAAAAAAATTACTGCTATATGCTGTTTTTCTTTTAAACCAGATAGAAGAAAGTAGTTACAAACAATATATCTATAATATCCCTATACCTAGCTATGTAGTTATCTTTACCTATGCTCTTATTTTTTCATTAATTCAAGTTGTAGTTTAGTATTCACTCACTCCAGTCTGCAAACTGACTCCTTTAGTGGTTCTTGTAGAGTAGGTCTACTAATGACTAATCTTCGCTTTTGTTGATCTGGCAGTGTCTTAATTTCTCCATAATGTTTAAAAGATAGTCTTACTAGACCTAGAATTTTGGTTTATAGTATTTCTTTCAGCATTTTAAATAAGCCATCCCATTGTTAATCTTACTGAGGATAATTAATATGATCAGTCTTTTCTCTTTTGCCACTTTCAAGATGAATGTTCTCTTTGACTACTGACAGTTTGAGTATGCTGTATCATTTTAAAAGGTTTACTTATTAAAAAGGCAGAGAAACAGAGAAACAAAGAGGGTTGGGGAATCTTCCATCCACTGGTTTACTCTTCAAATGCCTGTGACAGTGTGGTCTAGGCAAGGCCAAAGCCAGGAGCAAAGAGCTTCATCTGAGTCTCTCTCATGGGTAGCATGGATCCAAATACTTGGGCCATCTTACGTGCATTAGCAGGAAGCTGGATTGGAAAGCAGAGTTGCCTGGCATGAACTGGCACTCTGATATGGGATTCTACCATCAAAGGTGGTGGCTTAATCTGCTGCCCCAGAGTGCCAGCCCCAATGATCTTTAAATTTTTCAAGTTCTTGAGCCTTCTTGGGTATTTAGATTGTTGACTTTTGTCATTACTTCTCAAAATATTCTTTCTCTATTTCTTCTCTTCTGAGACTTTCCTTATATGTATGTTGCAATGCTTGATGATATCTCATAGGTCTCTGAAGTTTTATTCAATTTTTTTCTTTCAGCTCATTAAGCTGGATAACCTTAATTGATGTAACTTCAATTATATAAATATAAATATAAATATATTATATGAATGATTTCTCCTGCTAACTCAAATATACTGCTAAGGCCTGTTAGTGAATTTTTCACCTAACTTATTTTCTAGGTTAGATTTTCTTTTTTTTTTTTTTTTTTTGACAGGCAGAGTGGACAGTGAGAGAGAGAGACAGAGAGAAAGGTCTTCCTTTTGCCGTTGGTTCACCCTCCAATGGCCGCTGCGGCTGGCGCACTGCGGCCGGCGCACCACGCTGATCCGATGGCAGGAACCAGGAGCCAGGTGCTTTTCCTGGTCTCCCATGGGGTGCAGGGCCCAAGCACCTGGGCCATCCTCCAGTGCACTCCCTGGCCACAGCAGAGCTGGCCTGGAAGAGGGGCAACCGGGACAGAATCTGGCGCCCCGACCGGGACTAGAACCCGGTGTGCCTGCGCCGCTAGGCGGAGGATTAGCCTAGTGAGCTGCGGCGCCAGCCAGATTTTCTATTTTTTAAAAGACTTTATTTTGTTAAAGTAGTTTTAGTTCACAGAAAAATTGACTGGAAGTCACAGCAATTTCCCACATACTCCCTGTCTCCACATCTATTTGTTTCCAGAAATAATTTCTATTTCTCTATGGATATTCTTTTAGTTCTTTAGACATGGCTTTATTTAATTTTTTGAACATATGTATAAGTGGTCAATGTAAAGTCTTTATCTAGAAAGTCCAACACCTGATCTTCCTCAAGACAGTGTTTACTGACTACTTTCTCCCATCCAGTGTATGGACTATACTTTTTTTCATGTCTCATAATTTTTTTGTTGTTGTTGAGAACTGAAACTTTAATATAATGTGACAACTCTGGAAATCAAATCCTCATTGCTCCAAAGTTTGTTGTTGCTACTTGCTTAGTGGCTTTCCTGGGCTGATCATGTAAAGTCTATATTCTTGGTTATGTGTGGCCACTGCCCTTTCTGCTTAGTTAACTCCATGGTAATGTTTGGGTGGAGATGTTGTTAAATGCCTTGTCAGTAATTTCCCCAGCCTTTATGAGGAACTCTGTGCTGGGTATGCTCTCAAGAGTCAGTCAGTCAATTTACAACTCTGCCTCAGCATTTACCTCCTGGTAGTACTGAGCCTCAGTTCAGAGATGATAGATTAGTGCCTTCTTTTTTTTTTTAAGATTTATTTTATTTATTTGAAAGAGTTACAGAGGGAGATAGAGCCAGAGAGAGAGGTCTTCTGTCTCCTGCTTCACTCCACAAATGACCGCAGAGGCCAGAGCTGAGCTGATCTGAAGCCGGGAGCTAGGAGTTTCTTATGGGCCTTCCTTGCCTGCGGGTGCAGGGGCCCAAGCATTTGGGCCATCTTCTACTGCTTTCCCAGACCATCGCAGAGAGCTGGATTGGAAGTGGAGCAGCTATGGGATGCCAGTGCTGCAGGCTGGGGCTTTCACCTGCTATGCCAAAGTGCCAGCCCCAATTAGTGCCTTCTTAGATCTTTCCTGGATATCTGTGTTACTGTGCACATGTATGGTCTTCTGACTTCTAGGAATCCTGCTGGAACTGTTAAAGCTCCTTAAGGTATTCCATTCTCCAGATTTTCCTTTAAGGCTGTTTAGTCAGCTTTAGGTTTGTCCCAACTCTTGTCAGCATTACTGGTAGCTGCAATGTTAAACGATGATCATTAATTATTGACAAATGCTTTAGGGAAAAAGTTTTTTTCAATAAGCAAACCCTAAATCACATCATATAAACATGAGCTTTGCAAATAAGCTATACTGGGAAAACTCTCGGACACACCAGCATAATAACAATTCTCTGGAGTTGGGCTTTGGGCAGTTCCACACCTGTTGGTCCCCCCAGTGTTGCTGGGATGATGATTTCCACAGTTATGATTGTGAGCTTGTAGGCTATTTTGATTATGCAAGAGGAAGATGAGATTAGAGCAAGGGAGACGTCACAAAACTCACTGTTCATACTGGGGCTCAGCCATTTTTTTTGAAAATATGTTCCTAATTGTTGTAAGTCTTTAGCTAATCTCTGGAGTTCTGAAAAAGTTGATTTTGAATTTTTTCCCTGTTGCTTTTGTTGCTTTTATGGGAGATCAAGTTTTCAGGGGCCTTCATTATTCAGTTGGTCAGTCTCTTCCAAATGCTTTAAAAAAATTCATTGACATGTTAACATGATTTTTTTGTTTACTTATGTAGCATGGTGAATTGCAAGGATAGATTTCCTTTGAATTCCTGGCAGTGGGTGTTGGAGGCTGAATTCATGTGATCATGATGTGTAATTTTTAAACATATTTTTTGAATTCAGTAAGTTAATATTTCATTTAGAATTTTTGCATCTATATTTGCAGAGGTACTGAGCCAACAGTTTTATTTTCTTGTTCTGATCTTATCCAGTTGGTAAAATTAGATTATTTAGGTTTAGCAAATGAGTTAGACAGCTTTATCTCATGTTCTATATTTTTGAAACAACTTGTATAAGATAGAGATTATCTGTTCTTTGAAAGTTTGGCAAAATACATCTATAAAACCAACTAGGACAGGCAATATTTAGGGAGAGGCATTTATCAATTTCCTTAATAGCTTGGGTGAAATTTAAATTCACTTCTTGACATCAGTTAAGATACCTGCATCCCATATCTGTGCCCCTATTCTTGATACCTGACTCGGGTTCCTGACTGCAGCTTCTTACTAATGCAATGTCTGGGAGGCAGCAGTGGTGACCCAAAGCTGGGTCCTGCCACCCAGGAAGGAAACCCAGATTGAAGTCCTGGCTTTGGTCTCTTGCTGTTTCAAGGCCATTGTAGGCATTTGGGAAATCAGTCAGTGGATCTCAATCTCGCTCTCTCTCTCTCTCTCTTCCTTGCTATGAATTTCTGCCTCTCAAATAAATAAATAAAAATAGTTTAAAAACAAAAGAAAAAATTTAGTTCTCATTCTTTTGTCATGTATCACCACTACCACCACCACTTTTTTTTTTTTTTTATAGCTTTTTGGCCCCTTTCATGTAAACTGTTTTTATATCTGAACGAAGCTATAACACAAAAATTTCTAACAATGTTAACTACCTCCTGCAAAGGATTCAGAAAATTACTTTTTCCTTTAATTTTTAGCATGATAGACTTCCCCTTTAGTATTAGAATTCTTTTTTGTAGGACTCATGGTGTGTGTGTGTGTGTATGTGTGTGTGTATGTTTTACTCATTTTCAAAAGAGTTACCTATAGAGGGTTTACAAAAATGAAATTGCATGTAGTTTCCCTCATCTATCTATCTTCTATGCCAGATCCCTTTGGGTCTACAATTGGTTGTATGCAATTCTGAGCTCAATTCTTAGTATTTGTCCTGTATTTATGTACTGTGGTTCTACTCCCCACAGGTGCTATCCTCTGTTCTCCCTTTCTAGTTCCCTGATTTGATAAACCGATTGAGTAAATGACAAGCTAAAGTTCCCCAATGAAATGCACTGTACCAAGGTTCTTTCTTTTGTTGTACCTTCCCACAGTCCTTTGCTTGGAAAGAATTTCCATTACAGCATATCATCCACCCATGTTAGTTACTTTTTTTTTTTTTTTTAGTGAAACACTCTTCCCCCTTTTAGCAATCTTTTCCTAGAAGTTCTCTCTAAAGAAGAAGGTTGAAAGAGAAGTCATTTAAAAAAAGCGATATCCTAAAAGCAGGATGGCTACTCAAAAATCTGGCCCTGGCCCTGGTTTTCTGAGCCAGGGGTAAAATTGTGAATGACAGACAAGTATCTTCATATTTTATATCATATTGTTTGGATCTTAAAAATATTTTTGTTGTTTTGAAGCAGAAGGAGGCTACCAGTTGTTTCCTCTCAATCCAGCTCTGTAGGTCTTGTAGATAGTGAAAATTCCTTCCAGATTCTGGCAGCCAGCTTGTCTGTATGTCTCCGTTCTGAGAGTTGTTTTTAATTTTGGGCTTCTCCTCTTTCTTGGTAATTTTACTGGGCTGTTGGAAGTAGCTGCATCAGTGATTGCTAATTTGATTTCATTTAAAAAAGGAATTCCATTGCAAATGAATTTAAAAATATTTTTCAAGTTATATAAGGAATAGTTGCAGTTCACTTTTTGAGTTGCTTTAATTTATAGATTAACCTGTCAAGAATTTTCATCTTTATTCTTTTCAGAATTTTAATTTACAATTAAATATAAATTTCGCATCCAAACATTTCTATTTTATGTTTCTGTTACTGGTATGAATTGATTTTGCTTGAATTTCTGACTAGCTTTAATGATACAGAGATGCCGTACAAAAATGCAATGCATTTATATGTATCATCCTTGATTCCTTTGTTGAACTGTTTAAAAAACTTTGATAATTTTATAGCTAAATAAAACTTTTTCTAGGCATAAAATGATAGTGCCTGAAATTAATATTTTTACTAATATCTTAAATAATTCCTTTAAGTGTCATTGTATTTGGAAGAGTTTAAAATGCAGTATTGCTTATTCAACTGTGAAAATTGTCATTTTGTTCTTAACAATAACATCTTTAATTTTTTCTCATTTGTAGAGAATGCTAGTTCATGATTTTAAGTAGATACTCCTTTGGATTAAGTATCCTTCCACAAAGTAAGCATTTAATAATATTTCTGTGAAGTTAGAATGAAATATCTTATTATTCTTATATTTTCTGTTCAAAACTTATAAGTTCTGGTCTAACTTTGAAAATCCTCTGAGCATCTATTTAAATATGGCCCTTATTATTTGTACTACAGATTTGGTATCTTGTTTTGATCTTTTTGTTATGTTGAATGTTC